AAGACCTGGTTCCAGTGTTAAATATTTCTAAACAAAAAGCCTGAGGTGCCATTCAACAAGGATTTCATGAGCAATGAGACTATAAACTTTGTGGGCCGTGACATTCTTCTTCTAATTCAATATCTGGATGTGCGGTCTGCTGTGTGGGCTGTGAGGAATCTAGTATAATGGAGGTTTATGCTACAACGATTCTCTAATATGGATTTCTAGGGTGAAGGTTGATGACTAGTCTATACAACAATCTGAAAATGTTTGTAACGTTATAGATTCCTTACTGCTATTGAGTGCAGCTTAGGTGCAGAAATACTGGACTATGTAGAGATGCAGAAAGCTTATTAGTGATGGAAATAAACGCATATAAATACGACATGGGGGTTTGCAACATAAAACAATGAACATATTGCAATAAAATACAAACAATTATTTTTACGTTGCCTTAATCCATTAATGTACAAATTGCACGACTGAGGCATAATCTGGAAGGATAATATATCTTTTAAAACATTTTTACTACTTCCACTGTTTCATTATTATTACTGTATGATTGACTTCCTCCAATAAAAGAAAGAGGGACAGCAAGCGCAAACATGTTTGATGAACATTCACATTGCTTTCATTTGGCAGCGTTTTGGTTGAGTATCAAATGACTAGAGACGGAGCCAAATCATTTTGGAAGCTGTCTATTAGTTTTGTGGCAGCTTGAGATTTATTAAAAACTCTGTCATTCCCATCTCAGAATAAGTCCTCTATTAAGTCCAAGGTTATGTTTGATAAACAGTAAGATAATACAAAAAATGAATATATGTTGGTAAAATGTGAGGTTTTTCTTTTACCAATTTGCAGAAGTTTTCAAACTTAATTTCATGACCCGTGAAAAGGACATTTTTAAAAAGATCTGCGTTTTGCTGCCGTTTCTTTTCCATCAGGTGATTACACAAGCCATTTAGATTAACACAGATTCTACTGGCTGTTTTGATTTGCAACGGCATGTTAGCGGAGGGATAAGACACTATAAACCTTGAAGATTTGTGGTATGAAACTATGCATGGTATGCGCCTTAGCCTGTGGAAAAAAGGAGTATCTCCGGGACATGCATGTTCACATTAAATTAAAATATAAAAGGCTCAACCAATGTTAGCATTTCTACATTTGTTAATATCCATTCTAGCAGCTGCTCAGTGACTCAAAGGAACAAAATGTTCTACACGTCTGGTATAAACGTCCCTGATTTTATTTTCATACTTTATGTAGTCTAGTGTTTTGTTTTGCCTACAAGCTCAAACCAGTTCACATTATATTGTCAAGGCAGCTGCCAATAGCAGACGTGGAAAACAATTAGTGTCAAATGTTTTTCTTCCTGTAGTAGTGAGGGACTCCCTGAGGGTAAATGCTTAAAACAGACGGAGGCAACAACACAGATATCACAACAGCAATGAACCTGGGGCTGGCTGATAGCGCAATACTATCATTCAACACTCATTTATCAGCTTTCTGTGGAATTGAGCATTGATCAGAATTATACGTTTGGTTATTTATTTAAAATGTAATTGTCTAAATGTGTGATTCTAAGAAGGCTGTGAAGGCTTAACAAATTAAGATATTCAGAGAGTTTGACAGACAAGTTCAAACCCTGACTTGAAATGGTCAGACACAGCCGCCCCTAATCTGACGTTGGAAAGGTGTGGGGGAGGGGATTTACAACACTATTCAACCCTCCGACAAGCCGTTCTGATGATTGAACTGGCAGCCTAATACATCACTAACGTCTGCAAAGTGTGCACATTTAGGTGAATGCTCAGGATACACGCTTACGCAAGATGTGAAGGAGATCCAAAAATGTTTGAACAAGCACTACAGTGCTGTCAGTCTTTTAAAAAGCATTATCGACTTTACCAGAACAAGTAAGCCAACAGCCTCGCTTTGTAGTGAGCTTCTTGATATGATTTACTCCCATTCTTAAAATAAGTCACAGTCTCTTTTCTTGCAGAACCTTTAAAAGCCCTGGCACTACTTGAAACGAATGAGCTGAAACACAATAGCAACGGTCAGCCAGGCACTGAAGGGCAAAGAGAGAAAGCTCGAGGTGGCTCTCATGAGATCCCTTCACCACCCGGACTGGACACCGGCAGCCATCCAGAGCGCTGGCTTTGCTCTTTCATTCAAGGGCTGCCTTTCCTTTCTCTGGCTCCCTACTTTTTAAAGTAACATGCCAATGTAATTTTCCATGAGGGCTGCTCCATTTATCAAGGCCAGTGGCACATTGAGGCAGCTAACGAATGCCTTAGTCCTCTAGATTTGTATAACGAGAGGTGGGAGGGTGAGCCACACTCAGAGGTGGTTAGCACTTGTGCTAAGGAAGTACAGATGATTTATTCAGCATTCGAGAGCCAATGCTTCGGGGAGCTTTAACGTAGGACACAGACAATGTAGCCGCGCTATTACACCTCGACCATGGAGAACCGCTACAGGGACACATACTGATTAATGTGTAGATTACACGGCTGGCGAAAGGACAGCTAGTTATATTAAATCACCAGTCTAGTTGTAATGATGCTGACAAACTTCCAAATCTTCCTCCCAACTGTAATTGTTTTCTTCTATAATGGTTTTTGTATTATTTAATTAACTATTCATATTATTAAAAACATCTACAACGATCTAGGTTTAAGAAAATGTAAAGGATAGATTCATGTTCATTATTACCTGATATCATTCTGTCACATCTTTCAAATGTACAGATTAAATAATTCTTTTTTAATTTATATTTTAAAAACCATATATTTTCAACGTGCGAGTGAGGTTCAGAAGTAATTATTTATTTGATTATCTTTTTCATTTGCAGCACGTTTTGTTTTTCTTGTGTTGCCAGAGGATATATCTATACAGAGCCAGTCTGTTCTACAGTCAAATTACATATGAAAAACAGTATGTATGGCAGCGAATTGTAATGTAAATTCTTAATGTTTGGGATGTATACGACTAGTGAGCAACAATTAGAGTCATCCACATCTTGTCAAAAAAGGGTTTAGGGATGATCCAGAAAACAGATAGACCCAGAATGTATTTATATCAATCACAAGTCAACAAAATGTAACTTTTACTTTATCTTAAAAACCAGAGATCCAATGACTAAAATCCTTTATTTGGTTCAAATATAGTTAAAAACCACACAGATCTATAGTGTAGTGTAAACTTGGGGCTTGAAACGGGATAAGTCAACTTATGAGCTTCTGGTAGAAAACCACCCTCCAAAAAGGCCATTACAGACGACCAAATGAAACTGAGCATTAGCTTGATTAAACTTCTATGTTTCTCTAGGTTTGAATATGGTTGGAAACATTGGTAAAATTAAAGTATACAACTAAATTAAATATACAACACACTGTATATCTAGTCTCGGTTAGACCCTGTAGGCACATATTATTTTTAACTGGAGTTGCCAACCTAAACCTAAAACCGGCTCTTCATGACTAAAAGAATGTGTGCAACAATCAAAACAATTTTTCATCATGTTTTCCAGGATATCTTTCATCAGTTAGATGTTTGAAAGCAGTTGTTACCCCTTTCCTTTATACAGTGTTGAAAACCAATTCATGTGGTTCTCCCACGAAAGCCTTTTCATTCTAAATACATTATGATTACAAAGACTTTCCAGAAATTTCCTTTCAAAGGAGTCCGCCCAAGGAGACTCTACAGCTTGTGTTCATGGCTGGGTGTCCTGGATTTAAGGAATCAAACAGGCTTCCTCCTCACAGCCCTTCCCCCATGCCACTTTCAGAGCAGCAGGAAAAACGACGAAGGCGTGCTTTGCACCAGCTCCCTCCCCCACACACTGCTCCACCAGGCATTGCTGGGGCTTGTGGGATTAAGAATGGAACACGATGACAGACAAAAACAGTCCTCAGCACCTCCCTGCTCTGCTGTCTTTTATACTGCCTGAGCATGAAAAGGCTCTGAGGCACACAATAGACACAGCGATATATCAACTCTAGGAGTGAACAAGATAAGTGAGGGTGAAAAGCTACACAGATCTTTATATTGTTCTTGTAAGATTTCATAGAAATTGTGTGAAAAAAATTAAAGTGGAACATAATGTAACATTTACTTTACTTTATCAAGGCTCATGTGATGTGAGTTACAATCTTGTCTAACATAAGAACTTGGTTCTACTGACTCGTGTACCGTAATTAACACTTTCATGGTTAATTGCAATTCATGTTGGCTGGTATTAATACTTAACATTGTATAAGACATGTTTTGAAACTTGAAGGCCATTCCTTTTGAAATGAACCAAGCCTCTGTTGCCAGGATAAAAAACAATGTTTCCTGTAGCTAGTCTCAGCATCATACTCGTCAAGGGTGTCCTTATTCACAGTGTGGTAATAAAAGAGAACAGCCGTAGTTTTTTTTATGCATCACATGTCAGACAGCTTTGGGGAATGAAGAGCATCTCCAAGCCTGCTTTCAACAACCTCTATGATAGCTATCACAAAGCAACACTTCAAGAACCCTGCAGCGTTCGTTCCTAAGTGTCCTACTGTATTAATTAATACCATCATGATTTAACTGATGACAGCCAGTATTCTTTACAGAGACATTTTTCTCTGAGAAAAACAACCCCACAGCTGTATAAGTGTTGAAAATAAAACATAACAGAGTTGTTGCCAACAACTCGCAACAATTGAATTCAGGCACACTTTAACAGCAACCTCAAAAATGTGCAAGCATAACAGATGAATGTTTGTATGTGGTAATGTTTGTACTGAGAGACAAATCGCCTAAATATTTTTGAACTTTTAATTCAAATGTATTGAAAGCTGCATATTGCTTTCATCAACTTTATAAACACCAATGGTTACCGTACTTTACAATCGGACCAGCAAAACCTGGATAAGAAAATGGCTATTGACAAAGACAAAAACATCCCAACACTAGATAGTGAAATATGTTACAAAGCAACATACAAATCCAGACAATATAAACAAAAAGGAAAAACTCACCTTTTCATTTTTCACCTTCTTTAATGTCTTGCATTCACTGTTACCATTTTCCACCTCCTCTGGTTCAGTTTTTGCCGTCAATGCTGATACTATCCCTACAGGTTCAAGTGCAATATTCCCCATTTGATTGGATTCTGCCAAGTCTGTTGATGGTGTGTTCTCAAAGGACGCATTTCGACTATTCCCCAAAGCCACTTGGGCTTGAGACACAACATCCTTCTCCGCAGCAGCTATTGCCACGACTGGGGCTGCATCTGCTTTGTCCTTCTTACTTTTCCCACCAGCCCCTTCCTTCTCTTTTTTACCACTTAGAACACCTCTGGAGGCTTTGCCCCCTTTTTCCATGTTCTTTCCAGAGGTGGTATTGTTGCCAGCAGCTCCTGCGCCTGCTGCTGTGCCTGTTGGCTCCCCTTGAGTCCTTCCTGCAGTTTCTTTTTTGCCCCCATCTCCAGCTGAGGCTTTGCTACTATTGTCTTTAGAGTTCTTACTGCGCTTGTATTTGGATTTGCTCTCCTTGCCTTGAGAGCCAGACACTGGACTAACAAACCTGATGTTGTCAGGCAACGCTGCCACTGCACTGGGTGGTGCCGCCATGCCTTCCTTGGTGCCAGACATCTCAAGTTTGTCCTTCTCTAAATCAGCGTCAAGGTCAATAATCAGATTTCCAACACCGATATCCCACTCATCACCGCTATCGTAAGTGTCCACCGCATTAGAGTCCACACCTTTCCCGCCTGCAGTGCCACCACTTAGGGACATTTTAGTGCCAACGGCCCAGGATTGCCTCAGTGAGGTCCGACACTCTCTCAGACGGTTGGGGCTCAGGGGCAAGGGTTAGAGAATCCTCACGGTCTACTCGTTCTTGTGCCATTTAACCACATTTTATCCTAGAAAGAAAAGAGAACAGAGAATTATTAGGTGAATAATTCTGAAAGAGAAACAGTACAATCTGCCACCACAGGACTGTGTGTTTCATTGGTATAGAAAAAAAATGGTTTCATCACAAGCCAGTGATTCTCAGATGATCACTGCGCAAACCACTATGGTAATACCCACTGGTGTGACAGCAATGCTCCGAAACCCTCTCCTCATAATCAATTCCCACAGTCGTCATGGCAACCATGGGAAATGTAGCCTAAATCCTGCTTGACAGCCAATGTGGCCCCACTGTTCTGAATGACTAGCTCTCTTTTCACAAGGTACTGCTGATAGTGTCAGTGCTGATAAATAAGGAGTAGCTGGCCTCACACACCCCCACATGGTTTATGGAGCTGTGCCTTTTCAACTCAAGCACACAATGGTAATCTTGCCTTAGCAGAGGAGCTTAAAAACATGAATGAACCAGTGTATGTCTCGGGAGAACAGTGGTGAGTTGTATTTGCTCACACAATATAGTCAAAAGGTCACGATGTTCTATTTTTTTCAACAAATTGAAGACAGGACAGACTCCAGTCTAATTTGGAAAAACTGCATATCAACATCAAAAAAATCTTGTCTATAAAATGTAACCTCAAGAGATTAAGGTTACGTATTTAAGACCTCTATATATTATCTTACTATTTGCAAATCTGTCCTGACAGCAATTGATAGCAAAGAAGAAAATGTGAAAATGTCTCAATGTGTTTTTTGTTTGTCATGAATAGCTGTGAAAATGAATATCTTTACCACTTTTAATGTGTTTTTAGTTGTGCTATATTGAAACTATTCAGGGGAATAATTGATGTAAAGCACATTGAGTTTCTCTTGTAAATAACACATGCCATACAAATACCGTTGGCTATGGCACATACTTAGTACTCGCCTGCAGCATCAGCCAAGTAATTGTCCAATTTAAAAATAGTACAAACAATGCCATCAGGAGAGGTAAACATCTTCTGCAAGAAACATTTGTATGGATCCTTAAAATGTAACTGTTCAAGCCAAAGCTTATTATTATACAATGATATGTTTATAAAAAAACTCCTGGACAAAAAATGGTTGGCATTGAGACATCTTATCCATTTAATTTCATTGTGTACCACTGCTGAAAGGATAGTGTAAGCTATTAGGTACTCATGGCAAAACACAGTTACAAGGAATCAGGTAATCCCCCTGGATAAAGTACTGGTACTTGATACTCCTCTCTGTTCTGGGGGGAAAAGGTTCCATTGCATCTTATAATTCAACCCTTCAGAGGCTGTTCATCACTGGTGTTGACGGTGTTGAACTGGTTCCAGAAAGACTGAATTTTCTGAAAATCTAGCACTTACGGTTCCCCAAGAGCTCACTGCATGTTGGTAAATAATTAACACTCACATCTAGTTCTCATCCCCCCGTGCGATAAAGAACATGAAGGATGAGGAAGCCCGAGCACAAAAGACTCTGGAGTGGTGGAAGGACGATGAGATCAATACTGCCTCAAACAGGCGTGAAATCTGATGATTCTCTTTGTGCTTTGTAGGGCTGTCCCGAATACCATTTTTCGGGCTCCGGGTATTCGGCCCGCGCGGGGGGAGGGTGCGTTTGTGTTAACGTTATAGGAAAAAGTTCAAAGTTTCTTGTGTTTAGACCCAATGTAATTGTTTTATTGATATTTGTTTGTTATGCCATCTTATTGTTTTTACTTACGCACTTAATTTTGGCTTTAATGTGCACAACTTCGCCAAAGCGACGA